ATTTCAGAACCCAGCAAAAAGATGAGACTTGGTACAATGAAAACTTGCTGCCAATCCAATTAATCTCCAATGGCCATGTCCAACATCTCACTACATTGGGGAAAAAATGGTGTAGGAGATACTTTGAAGCAATTTTGGTAGTATAAAATAGTATAGACTAAAATAGTATTTTCATGTACTCCAATAATCTGTTACATTTACCAAAAATCATTTACAAAAATCATAATTTTTTAACAATGCAGCATATTTTAAAAGTAGCTGCAATCAGATGTTAAAAGAAAATAAGGTTGCCATCAATAGACCGGCGCAAATAGCACCGCTGATTGGTTGGCATATGGGTCATGTTGATTGAGTTGGCAGTAATGATTGATGAGCTGGTCTTCTGGGTTCCAGCCACTATGGTTAGCATTAGCATGTCCTGTTTGACGAATGGGCTGGCGAGCTCTCCTGCCCTGCGCTACTTAATAATACTATTGCCCTGGAGAGCTGTGTCAAGAGCGCAATTGAAATGGAAACGATTCTGAAGTGGATACTAACAGTTTTATGTGCCCGGAAAGAAACAGGACAGGCCCTTGAAGAAGTTGCATTGACCCATATTACATCAGCAAGAGGGCTATTGATCTGATAATATAATCGAAACTTGTGTCCATAAAGTTGCTATGAGAAGAGTTAAGATCCGGTCTGTTTAAAGCTTTACAAACCCAACGGAACAGAAAAAACGAGCCCAAAGCAGTTCAAGCGTTCAGTGATGGTGTAAACCGTGGAGCTCAGACACACAATCCTTAGAGCCGACACCTCCAGCTCTCTGTCAATGATAAGGTTTCCAAACGGTTCAGCCTCGCTGATTCAATTATATTTGAGGCTGATTATATTTATTAATTTATTTTCAAAATTGGCACAAACTTAAGACTAGTGGCACACTAAAACAGAAAAGGGGAACAAAACAAAAACAAAAAAACTCTAGGGAAATTATAGATTTAACGGTCTGGCTGCGCTTTAGGGTGAGTTAAAGTGTGCACGCTCATGCCGTAATGAATTACTCACTGGAGTGTGTTACAAGATTGACAGCATTAAACAGATTTATGTTTGTGATCCACTGCGATTATGATGAGATCACACCAAGCAAATCAGGGATTGGAAATGAAGATATCACATTTAACACGAGCCGTGATGCCACAACATTAAAAGTGTTCATTAAGACTTGCAAATTAGGAACACGGTTTGTGAGTTCGTCAAATTTATGAGCTTCCTGTCTTGTATGTGAATATGCAGTGTTGATGTATTTATTTATTGGTTTGTTTTAATTGTGATTGACTTGTATTTGTTTTTAAGGAAACATTCCAGGTTCGATACAAGTTAAACTCTGTATATGTATATAACCTCTGTATATATA